TAGAGCAGGGGAGGGGGCAGGGTCCCGGACGCCTGGGTTCTCCCCCTGGCTCTGGGAGGGGAGTGGGGTTTGGTGGTTAGAGCAGGGGAGGGGGCAGGGTCCCGGACGCCTGGGTTCTCCCCCTGGCTCTGGGAGGGGAGGGGGGTGTGGTGGGGAGAGCAGGGGAAGGGGCAGGGTCCCGGACGCCTGGGTTCTCCCCCTGGCTCTGGGAGGGGAGTGGGGTTTGGTGGTTAGAGCAGGGGAGGGGGCAGGGTCCCGGACGCCTGGGTTCTCTCCCCAGCTCTGGGAGGGGAGTGGGGGCTGGTGATTCGGGGAGGGGGGTTGGGAGGTCGGACGCCTGGGTTCACACTCACTTGTCGTGTCTCATGCGCACGGCCAGGGCAGGTTTGGTGAAGGTGAATTCCAGAACCAGCTTGTCTTTGCCACCTTTCCCCTCGCGGGCGTCGTCCCAAATCAGCACTGCCGGGGGGCGACGTGGGTGAGAGCAGACAGTGCTACCTCCCACAACCCCCCCACCCCTCCCAGAGCTGGGGAGAGAACCCAGGAGTCCTGGCTCCCAGTCCCCTCCCCCCCCGGGATACATACCTGAGATCTCTGAGAATTTGGGGTTCCCTCCTCCCCCTACAATGGCCAAGAGGTTGGATCGATGCAGCATCTCAACCAGGGCCACGCTGCCCACCTGCTCGTGATCTGGGGGGGTAGAAAATCAGGGTGCGGTCCAATGCCATTTCCAATGCCCCCCCCGAGCCAGCCAGGCCCCCCATTCCCTGCCCTCCCCACATCCTTACCCAGGTGCCCTTTCTCCATGAGCGGCTCCACATTGTAGATTCGCACCCCGGACTCCATCGCACAGCAGAAACAGCCTGGAAGGAGGGGCAGAGAGCGGATTAAACCCCAGCCCACCGCAGGGGGGGGGGCTTCCCGGACGCCTGGGTTCTCCCCCTGGCTCTGGGAGGGGAGTGGGGTTTGGTGGTTAGAGCAGGGGAGGGGGCAGGGTCCCGGACGCCTGGGTTCTCCCCCCAGGGCGCAGAGGCGGGGTTCAGGGGGTGCTGCTTACTCTGGTCCTGGTTGAAACGCAGGCTGTTCACCCCGCGTTGCTGCGCCATGCTGCAGGAGCGGTGGATTCTAGGGGGGGCCCCTTCCGGCTCCGAGCAACAGGTAGCTGAAGAGTGGGGGGAGGGGCAGGGGGTGAGAGGAGCATGAGGCTATGCTCCAGCCCCCCATGCCCAGCTGTCTGCCCCCCACCCAGCTCCCTCAACCCCACTGTCCCCCAGGATCGCCCTGCCCCCCCAAAATCCCCCACTGTCCTCCCTATACCCAGCCTCACGGCCCCCCAAATCCCCCTGCCTCCCACTGTGCCCCAGTCCCCTCACTCCTCCCCAAGTCCCCAACCCCCACCACTATGTTTCTATCTGGGTGCCCCCTGCCCCACAGCATTCGCCTTGCCCCCCATCCCCCAAATCCATCTCCCCAGACCCGCTGACCCCACAATCCCAACCTCACAGCCCAGCCCTACCTCCCCACTGCCCCCACGAACCCAGCCCCACCTGCCCCCCAATCCCAGATGCCCCCTCCTGCCCCACGAACCCAGCCCCACCTGCCCCCCAATCCCAGATCCCCCCACCTCCCCACCTCCCCACACGAACCCAGCCCCCCTGCCCCCCAATCCCAGATCCCCCCACCTCCCCACCTCCCCACA